TTACACCAAATACTGTTCTTTTTAGCAGCATCATATGACCCCTTTGAAGACAGCATAAAGTAATACAGACATTAGCGGATATAGGCACAGATATGACAATTTTGTTATTGATCATGTGTTGAAAATGTCAAATATTGTCAGTGTCTTAGATAAATAGATGTGAGATGTTTTATGTACATATGTTTATTGAATAGAAAACAGAATTTTGTAGTGCATTAACTTATGACATTATGAAATATCTCATTAATTTAAAGAACCAATTAATTTAAAAAATAGACATTTCTATTCAGAAACGAAAATAAAATATTCAAGTACAAATTAGTATATTAAACATGAATTAAATGATTAGACCACAATAATTACAGCTGACAAAGCAGTAGGCTTATTTTTGTTAAAAGCTTCAAGTACCACGGGAAGTAACATTTGAGTTTTTATTTTTCTTATTATATGCAATTCTTGGAGTTTTCACGTTCAGTTTTCAGTACTTTGGACATTTCCAATCTTTTCAATCTCATTTCCTCCATATCAGTAGTCTGTTTGAACTGAGCCTTTTGGAGTTAAAGAGTTTTTTTTTAAGCAGTTCTGCAGATCTATTCTATTTTCCACAGAAGGCAAACTGTAAGTGTATCAGTGTTCAGAACCATTTTTGGCGCTAGTCTCTTTGCTTAGCCCTCTTGCAAACTGGTTGCTGCCACATTCCTTTGACAATATTAGAACATTTTCACAAAATGGGTTTCCAATAGTAGTTTAAATCCCATTCATTCTCAGTCTCTATAAAAGCTGTCAATCATTTTTCATCTGTCTTTTAGCACCAGTCAAACCTTTGTCCTACCATTCTGAAAAAGATTTGATTGGGAACCCGCAGGTAGCGGCAAAGCTTCTGGAAAGCCTCGTTGCTAAGCGGAGCATGGGGTCTTCCTTTAGACTCATCCAGGCACTTGTCGTGTCCTGCAGACAGCATACAATAAAAGCCCTTAGTGACGTTAAAGTAGAAATTGTCTGGCTTTATCTGAGGTGGAAGTTCCAAAAACGTCTCCGCCTTCTGCAGCTCAGGGAACGGATTCCTAATAAGTGCCTCTCCATCCACAATGTGCATCTGCCCTCTGGGAAAAAGCTCCAACCATCTGGCAAGGTGCTGGTAGTAAAAGCTCCTCTGAAGGGCCTTGTATTTGGGATTGATGTGTCCTTGAGACAGCAGCAGCTCTTCGAGTGGTTGGTATGGCTTGTTTTGCTGAATTCGGTTATGGAGAACTTGTGTGTAGTCTGATACAAGTCTCTCTGCAGGGTCACGAACGATCAGCAGCAGTTTCACAGCTGGATTCGTGGCCCATATCCTCTTTGGGGCCAGTGGTGCTGTGAAGTAGCCAGGGGTCTTTTCCACCGTCAGCTGCCCAGGGAGAGTGACGGGCATCTGGGCGCGATACCAGTCCAGACCCTTCCGAAAATTTTCATCCAGGTTGAAGTAGTGGATCTCGTTCTTGGCTACGTCCACATCTGGATGGAGGTTGAGCATCTCCAGCAGGGCCCTGGTGCCTCCTTTGCGCACCCCGATGATTATGGCTCCTGGCAGGCGTTGCAAAGCCGAGGCATTGGAAGTTCCAGAAGGGGTCGCTGAAGTCACTGAGGTCAGAGAGGCTCGGA